ATTTTCTCTGTAGCACTTCATGGATTTCATAAGCAACACACCTTAGTTGTTCACACAAAGCATAAAGGTAAAAAACAATATATACAGTGTTATCTTCATTTTAGATGTTAAAAAGTATTTGCGGCTCCCAGTGTTTTCTTTTGTGTGGAAACCAGGTCCAAATGGTTTTTTGGGTGTTAAAGGTTGCTGACCCCTGAGTTAGACCTTTTAAACTGGGAGTTTTTGATGACTGACTGGGTTTTGGAGTGAGGTTCAAGTGGGCATTTGAGGAAGTGCAGTTTCTCTCAGTACTGTGCTTAATTTTTCAGGATCTTTTACTCATTAGATGTATACACCTTGATTCAAACATGAAAGACGTGCCCTTCATAACACAGACAACTTAATGAATATGGAAGTCTAAACCTCCTCAGAACCTCCCTACATAAACAACTGCCTAGAGTCTGTCACGTTACAGAAGTTCATATGCTTATACCCAGATCAGAAACATCTGCTGCCATGGTGTTCTAACAACAATAACCATGACCTTTAATTTTAAAAAGACTAAATAACTCATTTTGAAAAACAGGAAGTCCAATATAGATGGAGTCTTCATTAACAGTGCTTTATCATGCCTCATAAAGAAGGCCAATCAGTGCCTCCACTTTCTGAGGAAGTTGAAACGAACCAATATGTCACAAAAACAACTTGCCAACTTCTACTGCTGCACTGTACAAAGCATTATAACATCGTGCGTAAGGGAGTGGTACAGTATGGTAGCTGCACTGTGGTTGTCAGGGTCCTGGGTTGCTCGGACCCAGGACCCTGACAACCACACATCCCCGAGCAGCTATGAATTATATTATTATTGTATGTATATTTGGTGTTGCTGTCCTTCTCCTTGTTTGCACGTGTGTGTATATATCTGTTTCTGCGGGCGCCTTCAGGCCTGGTGGGTGTGGCCCTGCTGGCGGACTGGCCACACCCGAAGCCACACACCTGCTGCTGATCAGGCCTCGTCGGGGGAGCCACTTAGGAGAGTCTTGGAGCTCCCACCGACGCGGGATCATTGCGTCAGACTCCACGTTAGTCATCCAGCTGAGCCTAGTTAGTGTATGTGTATTCCCGCGGTTGTATGTGTCCTGACGGCTGCTTCTATTGTGTCCCCAGGAGAAATGTGGAGCGCCAGATCGCAGCCAGCACGAGGAGTGCTGAGACACGGGAGCGGAGAGCACTGAGACACGGACTGTTCACGGAGAGACACGACACGGGAGTCAGGGGAAAGCACGGGGTTTATTGTTGTTATTTCCACACACTGTAAATAAACGCACTGTTTATACACAGAGCACCGCGCCTGGGTCCTCCTTCCCCACACCCCCCACGGTTTGCCATGCCATACCGTGACAGTGGTGAACTACATTGTAGTAAAAGCAGGTGAGTGCATCTGCCATCAAAGATCCATCTAAAACACTGCATCTGTAACATCTGTGGCCCAGGACTCTGAATCTGTAGAGCTTTAAAGGAAGACTACAAATTGGTTCATGCCATAACTCGGGACCATGGGGGAGGGGGGGGGGGATTGGAGTTCACTATGTGAGGTTTAGTTAGGTTTTGTGTGTTTTACCCCTTCTCCTGTTTTTGTGGGCTGATCAGCCACTATTTAAGTTTCCCCTTTGTCTCGTTAAGTTAGGTCAGTTTGTTTGAGTGTAGTGTTGTCAACTTTGAGTAGAGTTCTGTTATTTTGACCTCTTTTATGGGCCCAAGATTTTGATTCTTTTTGCATGAGTTAATTAACCAATTATGTTTTTGGGTTAAATAAAAAATCATTTTTTTGGACTTTAACCTGTGCCTAAGTTTCCTTCACTGCGCGGTCCATCACACCCTGAATGATACTATAAAGTTTGTTATAATGACTTCCTTGTCATTATAACATTGTGTTATAATGGGAACTTCAGCATAATTAAGACGACACACCTAATTCCAGGAATTAACGATTCACCTGTAACCTTTTAAGTAATTATAAGAGCCAGTTAGTGTAAACAGAAACATGTCAAACTATGGTGCCATCAATCAGGTAGCACCACTGTGGATGCCACCTCGGCCCCCCTCTCCTGGGCGTGACCACCAGCAAAGATGCATATATAGAGAGATAGACAGAGGTAGCACAACATTCTTCCAGAGACACCAACAGACACCAGCTGCAGAATCACCATAGAGCCTCCTGAACAACAGCCTTCATCGTCTTCATTCTCCATCAGAACTGCAGAAGGTAAAACAAGCTGCACTCTCATCCTCTGCACACAACTGCACATATATTCGGCCTCTCATAACACAGAGCAGGACCACTCAGTCAACACATACACAATAAAGAGAAATAGGGGACAACGTATCAGTTTCATCACAGTCAACAAGCTGCAGAAGCAGAACAATAAATGCACAAAAAAGGGTAAGATCCACATGTAGCTTTTTAGAGTGAAATAACAGATGAATAAAAGTATGGAAAAACAAAAACTGACTTTTGATTTTTCATTTAATTTTAAAATCCTGCAACATTTAAAGATATAAATTCAGTGTCTAATGAAAATCAGAAGATGCTTGTCATGTAGGCTTGGAGAAAAAAATAATATTCGTTGTGTGTGAAAATGTGATTTGATGTTTGTCTATATTAAGCTTCTGAGTCTAATACAGATCCTACAAACACATAATCTAATGACACAATTGGTCATAATTTGGTAATTTTTTTGGTAAATTTATTAAAACATTATTTTGTAATGTTCCTGTGATCGAGTCCTGATAGTAAATTTTACATTGGTATTGAAGCTGTTTATTTAGTTGGGACAACAATGTGTGGTGTCAGAGTGCAGTGATAGACCAGAGTGTGACTCTGAACTCTTCCACCTACATTCATCCTGACAATTTTTAAAAAGTTACTGGAGCTTCACAAAACTTTAAGAGACATATTTAAAACTTTTAAAATAAAGTCTCAGTAAGCAAAGGAAACAAGAAATTCTTCTGTTCTCCATAGGCAACGACACTGTTGCTCCAAACAAGTTTTACTTGTAAAGAATATTTTTGCTGGTACCAAATTCTTTGTTTTGAATCACAGTCAAAAAAATAAATAAGCAAGTAATATTTCATATTTATCAGTTCATACATTAAATTAGTGATATTTTTCTTCTCAGGGTGGTGAGGGCTTCAAAAAAATCACAACTGTGAACCTGCAGACATTTCCAGTAAATTGTGTTTTGTTCCACTTGACAGGGCAAATCTGTCAAATGTCAGTGTGAGGAAACAGATTTTACAGATGAATGAAAGTGCATGAAGACAGCTTTGTTACACTTTATTAATTCAAACACTGTGATTTTTTTTCTGTTTTGTGACTTTGGATGATGTACAATATTGAGTATAAATATCAACATTTAATGATTTCAGCAGAGCTAGCAGATTCCAACTGTGACTTTCTGTCCAATCAGATATAGCTGTGTCTTTTAGCTCTGTCAGCTGATTGGCGGCCTACATCATGCTCCGCCCCCTGATCATCCTGTCTGTTTTCAGCTTGCTGACTGTAGGTAAGAACACACAGCTGGCAATCATTTTAAATTTGCCCTTGCAGTGCTTGAGTAGAAGCAACAACGCTAAAGAGGAAAAAAACAGAGAGTGACACAAACTTCAAACATTAGCACATTTTCTTTCATTTCTGAAAATATAAACTATCCATCCATCTTCTGCTTATCCGGGGCCGGGTTGCAGGGGCAGCAGCCCACGCCCCTCCAGACCTCCCTCTCCCCGGCCACCTCCTCCAGCTTGTCCGGGGGACCACCAAGGCATTCCCAGGCCAGCTGAGAGATCTAATCTCCCTAGCGTGTCCTGGGCCTGTCCTGGGGCCTCCTCCAGTAGGACATACCTGGAACACCTCACCCAGATGCCCTTGTCAGATGCCTGAACAACCTCAACTGGCTCCTTTCAAAGTAGATGAGCCCCTCCTTGATGACTGACCTCTTCACACTATCTCTAAGGGAGAAAGCTCATTTCTGCCGCTTGTATCCACAGTCTTGTCCTTCCAGTTACTACTGAAAGCTCATGACCATAGGAGAGGATAGGGGCTAGATCAACCGGTAAATTGAGAGCTTTACTTTTACACTTAGCTCTCTCTCCAACAGAACTGAACACGTACAGTGTCTGCATTTATGCTGGAATTGTTGTGTGACAACAGAAATGGATGTTTTGTCAGAACACCGGCAAGCAGACCAAGCTCTTGCAATGGTTGTATATGGAATGAATGGTCACATCAGCAGGCCAGACACCCCATACTCCTGAAGTACCTCCCACAGGCCCCCCCGAAGGACACGGTCGAATGACTTCTCAAAGTCCACAAAACACATATAGACTGTTTGGGCAAACTCCAATGCACCCTCAAATATTATTGAAAATATTCAACATATTATCAAACTGTTTGGGCTCTAAAAATTCATGAAACTGTTAGAACTTCAGTCTGTACCAAGCTTCACAAGCTGGAATAGTGTCACAATCTGGCTCTATTTGCCAATATTTAGTCTCAGTCATAGTATAGAGGGAACAGGACATAAGCATCATTCAAATACAGTTAGTGGGTGTTCACTAACAGCACGTGGTGTGCTAATATATACCAAATACTGATTGTATTGAACAAAAAAAGTTTGGAAACTAAAGAGACAATTTAGTTAAAGCACAACAGAAATCTTTAAGACCGGTACAATCACGCTGTTTCATCCCTGCTCCTTCAGTCTGCATGTCGAAGCTTTCTTGGCCAAGACATTGAACCCAATTTGTCCCCAATGCATCTATCGGTGTGTGTGATTGTTTAAAAAGTGGTTATAGCATAAAGTGTTGTAAGAATATCAGTGAAATTTGCTTGAAGTAAAGATGACTTCTTTTCATCCTTTCATCCAGTGAGCAACAGTGAAGAAGTGGAGGGGCGCATCCGCCTGGTTGGAGGAAACGGCTTGTGTTCTGGCAGGGTGGAGATCTTCCACAGTGGGCAGTGGGGGACGGTGTGTGATGATATATGGGACCTAGTGCATGCTCAGGTGGTGTGTAGACAGCTGGGCTGCGGCAGCGTCATCTCAGCACCAGCAAGTGCTCAGTTTGGTGAGGGCACTGGACCCATCTGGTTGGATGATGTCAGTTGCTTAGGCAGTGAATCACATCTCACTCAGTGCCAGCACTTACCATTTGGATCTCACAACTGTGAACACTATGAGGACGCTGGTGTCATCTGTGAAGGTAAATTTGTGCAGCTGCAGACACTGAAGTCCCACTGCTTGATTATATGTCCAGGATGTTTAGCTGACAGGTTTGCAGTCAACGATTATGATAGCTTTGATTTATGCTACACTGTTTTGCCCACAAGCTCTTTCACATTGAATATTTTATTTACAGACAATATCTTGGAGCCTTACTGTAAACCCAACAAAAAGTCCATCATTTTCCATTTAAAATACAAATTTGGATGATTTTTTACTCTTCACAGGCTTTGCACTGCAACCAACTCTTCTTTCAGCTCTTTGTGATGGTAAATTGGGAGGCTTTTGAGTTTTCGTTAAAGTGGGACAACACCAAAATCTAATGCGTTTCCACAGCACTTGATATTAGCTGACATGTTTGCAGTCAACAACTATGATTTTTTTTGATTTATGCTACACTGTTTTACCCATTAAATTCATTTAAATCTGAATCCATCTACATATCCATTAATAGTTAGAGCACCACCTGGTGGAAGTAAAGAAAACTTACAGATAAAATCCAAGGGACCAATCCATTCCAGAGTTTATATCAGTCAATATTGATTAATTTTGACCATACTTAAATGTTCATATAGTTATCTTTTGAACATAACTTACTGTCTTTCCAGACTTTCCAGAAAGTTCCAAATAATTTCTAGAACTTTCATTATCCAGAAGCCTTTTAGAGCTGATACTAAGCTGTTCTTTCCTGTTATCATTATTTTTAAGAAAACCCTGTGAACTCCACCTGCACTGTGACCGGCCCCACTATCATTGATGTCCATGGCCAGATTAACTTCATCCAGGATCGGTGTGCGTACTCTCTGTTCTCGATTCCATCACTCCCAGATTTCCATGTTCAGGGGAACTTTGAGGACCGCCGTCGTAAAGATGTGAGCTTTTTGGACAGTGTGACGCTGCGTGTGGGCGGGCATGTCATTCACCTGGAACAAGGTGGGAGAATTCAGGTAAGCGACCTACAGCCACCGTTCATGTGTCAGAGTGGAGTCTGATCCAAAGTCCTCCCTCTGCTGTGTCTCCTCTCATTGTTCTTCTCAGGGCTGTTAGAAGCAGTTCTTTCAGAGCTGCTGAACTCAGTGGTTGTTGCTGTGAAATCAGCCTGTTTGTGTGTTTGACATGTTTCACTCAGTGTTTCCTCCACTTTGTCTCTGCTGTGATGCAGCTGGACGACACCACACTGACCCTCAGCAGTTCGCCTCAGCTGGTTCATGGTGTGCAGCTCTCTAAGGACCAAACTGGAGTCACTGCCAAGCTGTCGCTCTCCAACCTCATCATCTCTGTCTTCTTTGATGGCTACACCGCACAGATCCTCTTACAAGGTACAGAAAATAAAGTTTGATTCATGTAACATAAACTGTAAACTGTGCTGTTATTTGTTGAGCTGCTGTGTTCGTCCAGTTTGAATATTGATGCTGATCTGACTCATTCTGTCCTGATCCTTTGCAGGACCTGCTGGTACATCTGTGGAGGGTCTGTGTGGAACCTCCAGCATGTCTCTGAGTGACCTGAGGCTCTCTGAGTACAGCTCCCCCAGGTAAGACCTCATCACAAGCTCAGAGTCCCTCTGACTGCTGCTGATGTTGCAGATATTCTGTGTTTGTATGAATGAGCCTGAACTTTGTTGTTTGTCACCCCCTAGCTGTGAGATGCAGTACAGTGAGCCTGCTGACAGCACGATCAACTGCAACAGCGTGACTGAACGGTGAGCAGACTGATCCACACAGCAGGAAACATCTGTCTGTGTTATACTTTTACTTCAGCATGACTGTTTTTCTTTTTGGAAGTTTTCCCCTGTACTTCACCACATTTCATTGTATGAATAACAAAACAGACTCGACTGAAGTGAAAATTTTCAGGGGTTCAACGAAAGTCTTTTATTAACAGTTCTGGAATTACAGACATTTTTTATATTAATTTGATTTTCTATCTGTGGTACAGCTGTAATCTCCTGAAGGAGGCGCCCTTCTCCTCCTGTAACAGTGACATCGACCCAGAGCCCTACATAACCGCCTGCACCCACACTTTGTGTAAATATCCTGCAGTGGACGGACTCAACTGTCAGTTCCTGAAGGCCTACGCCAGAGCCTGCAGTCTACACAACCACACTCTGGATGGCTGGAAGTCAAACGCTGGCTGCTGTAAGACCTTAATAAGACCTTAATAAGACCTTAATAAGACCTTAATAAGACCTTAATAAGACCTTAATAAGACCTTAATAAGACCTTAATAAGCTCTCTTTGTTTAAAAATTGAACTGTGGATTTTTAGAGCTCACATGTTTTCAGGATAATACATCAGTGTGTTCCTCTGTAGCCTCTGAGGCCTTCTGTCAGGACAGGACCTGCAGCAATCACGAGTTCTGTGGTGAGAAGACGGTCGATGGTGACACTCACTGCTTCTGTCGGGCCATTTTTGCCTCCAAGTACCAAGAAAACGACTCTTTGGGTACGACAGCTGTGATATCGTCATGACAACAGGGCTGAATAATGGAGGAAAACTTCTGTGATTTTTCTGACTGATATTGTGACATTCAGGTGATCCAACAGTCTGCATGCAGGACTCTGCTTCAGTCACTCTGGTCGGTTGTCTCCTGGAGGACAAAGGCATCGACTACTCTGCCTTACACCTCAACGACCCGACCTGCAGGGGTCAGGTGGACGAGCTCACCCACAAGGTGACCTTCAACTTCGACAGCAGCAACAGGTGTGGGACGGTGGTCACGGTGAGTATTATCTCCCCCTCCAGTTTGGGATCTTTCTGTGGGTTCAGCTTTACCTCTGACCTCTGTCGCTTCTCATCATGTTGATGATCTGTGAAGTTTATTTAAGTCAATCAGCTTCTGTCACTAACCAGTCAAAAAAAGCAGGAATTCACACTGCTAGCCTGGTCAACAAGCTGCAGCCATTAACTTTACAGTACTTTTATTAGTGTTTGAATTTTTATCATTCACTCATGTTAGCACAATGCACAGCAGCAAATGAGATTATGTGTAAGATAATTGCATTAGAAAAGTATCCAAAGGGCACCAAAAGAACAAACATGGTCCAGTTCAGGGACTCCAGTTAGCTGAAATGAAGACAACTAGCAGCTACACCCACCTGCCAAACAGGCCCCACCACAAGGATGACATTTTTTTAAATGCTTCACTCTTGTATTTAATAACTAAAAAACAGTTTTACTAAGGTGAGATCACAATATAATGCTACTTTCTCAACTAGAAACAAGAAAATAAGAAAAAAGTTAGGGGCAACTTTGATTTTTTCTCAAGCGGAAGTGGTGTAGTAAGATAGAGCCTTTATTTAATAAAGAAAGCTGACAAACCTCCTTAAATAAGTTTTTCTTCATAGCACGTTGACTGATTTTTTATGGGTTTTTTTTATTAGACCACGAACTGTCCACTAAACCAGATATCAAACTTTTTCCACTTATCCACTGGTGAAAATTATGGTGAGGAGCTCGGCCATCAGGGAGGGGCTAAGACTAGAGCCGCTGGTCCTCCGCATTGAAAGTCAGTTGACATGGTTCAGGCATCTTACTAGGATGCCTCCTGGGTGAGGTTTTCCGGCCATGTACCACCGGGAGGAGGCCCCTGGGCAGACCCAGGACATGCTGGAGGGATTATATCCATTGGCTGGCCTGGGAACGCCTTGGTGTTTCCCCAGACAAGGTGGAGGAGGTGGCTGGAAGAGGGAGGTCTAGGTTTCTCTGCTTAGGCTGCTGCCCCCGCAACCCGGCACCAGATAAGCAGAAGAAAATGAATGGATGAATGGATACTTTATTTATCCCAGCGCTGGGAAATCTCTTTGTTACAGCAGTTTAAAACTAAATGAAAAACAATAAAGCAAAATTACTTAGAAATGATATATAGCTCATTTCAAGCACAGTGTGTGAAAAATGATTTTAATAAAATAAAAACTGAATAATGTCTGAAAGACTACAAGCACACTTTTACAAAAAAAAAAAAGCCTCTGTGAATTCAGATACTTACTTTTGTGTTTAATTTTCTTCTCTGACAAAGCCAGTTAACAGTGGCTGCTCTAAGAGCCTAAAGAGCAATAAAGGTCAAATTAATGTATCAAATCATTTATTTAAATTCATTAAACTAATGCCTTGTGTACGTAAATAAACAAAATAAAGTGGCAGCATGTGCAACTGAAGATAACAGATCACTATTTGTTTTTTACTTTCTAAAACTTTCTATCCTGGGTAAGCCCCCATGTATGACACTTCGGTTTGCTCCCACAAGATGTCTCATTTTTAACACCTACTAAAAACTGTCACACATCTGATTGTGTGACTCTGCAGACTAACAACAGCCAAGTGATCTACAAAAACACCATCATGACCCAGAACAGCTCCTCTGACATCATCACTCGTCTCGACCAAATCTCCATCGACTTCTCCTGCGTCCAAACTCAGCCGGACATCAAGACTGCCACCTTCAGGATCAGAGACAGGTGTGTGGTGGCTGCTGGTTTTCTTTGAGTTACTTTAAGATGTGAAGCTTCTCCTGAGGTTTGTGAGTCAGAGAAAGCTGAAGTGTGTTTGTGT